CGCACACACACACACACACACACACACACACACACACACACACACACACACACACACACACACACACACACGCACGCGGCCGATGACCTGGATACGCTTCAGTCTCTCAGGACGTCAGGTGAGATTCTACTCACACACACACACACACACACACACACACAGATCTCCCAGAATCCTCTCTGCCTGTGTGTGTGTGTGTGAGAGTGTGTGTGTGTGTGTGCGTGTGCTTCTATTCCTGCACTCTGGTGTCTGTATATATGATCTGCAGCATGATGTAACTGTGCTGTAACTCCATCATATGTGTACCAAATGTAATGCAACACTACCATATAATAATGTCGCGGTCAATCAGTCAGAGGTGCAGTGACAAGCGTTATTACTTATGTAGATATACATAATAAGGCGTTGTCACTACACCAAATTCATAAAAATTGAACAAAACCTTACAGATCTCCATATCACCACATGATGAAGTAATTGCATCTAAACTACAGTTGTATCCACTCACATAAAAGCACTAGACAAATAAAACTGTTTGTCCAAATAACAATAAAAATCAATAACCATTTTACCATCATGCCTCCATGAATATTGATGTTTTTAAAGTTTTTTTTTCATGCCAGTTTCTTAAATCGTTGATTCTGATATTTTATATAATTGATCACTGCAAGCTGTTGAAATTAACTCAATGTGACCTTATCAATTTGTTTTTTTTGTGATATTTGTACATTGTAAAAAATGTGGCAGTTAAGAAGAAACTAACTAAAGTTTTATTATAATTGCATTTATTATTATTTAGTATGCTGGTTTTATTTCTGTGATCATCTATATTGTGTGATATATATACACGTACAGATCTAAGTTTAATGTGTTTTGTTATTAAACAAATGCTCACTAGCACTCGTGACATTAACCATACACACACTGTACCTGAATGATGATTGTATTTCTCTCTTGACGAACTCATTTGTATTCTCATATCTTCATTGATTTCTGTTTACTTCAAGTAATGATTAAATAATTTCTTTATCAGCCAATGATACGTGTCCAGCTTTTGTCTGCTGACTCCATCTGCATCAAATAGCTTGAACAAAGATTTTTTATTAGGTTCATTTATTTTGTCGAACCTGAATGAGAAATATGTTGGTAATAAAATTATGTTGTTGACCTTAAGAGTTTATTAAAACATTCCAAATCTGAACAATCTTACGTTGAACAATGTGCATGTTCCCATCATGCATTGCAGCTTGAAATGTTATGTGGCTCCTGGTATTAAAACAATGATTGCTTTACGGTTTCCTGGTTTAATTTATGCTGCTGCTGTTGGTTTTCTGTCATACGGCTCAGAGATTTTACTTCACATTTGTTAAATACTGACTACACGAGCATCTCACCAAAACGCTGGATTTAATAAATCTGCCTCCAGTTTTAAAGGGGCAAAAAAATGGCACAATGTTAATTAAATGCTGAACAGAAGAAAACCTTGAAAGGTGATTTCAAGTGTTCCTTTCTCTTTGGAGTGTTACAAGCTCTTGGTGCATAAAGAAGATCTGTAAAGTTGCAAAGACTAAAGTCTCAAATCCAAAGAGATATTCTTTATAAAAGTTAAGAGTCAGCCACACCTACCTAAAACGGCTTGTTCTAACACGCCCCCACATGTCTACGTCACTATGTGGGAAGATTTGCATAACGCCGCCCAAATGTTCACGCAAAGAAAGAAGGCGTAACTTTTATTCTCGCTGTAGTATTGTTGCTGCCGCCATGTCGTGAAGACGCTGTGTGCTTCGTTGTGAAAGCGAAACTACTTTGTTTGTTCTTCCAAAAATGGACACAACTAGAAATCAGTGGTTAAGTTGTATTTACAACACTGTTCCAGAACACTTCAACCCAAATATTCAGATGTGTGCAGCACATTTTATGGAGGACTGTTTCCTGATCCTGGGAGAGTAGACTACAATGCCGGCTGTTCTGACTCACAGACTGTAAGTACGTTTTTTATATTTAAAGAATTTGCCACTGACGATTCAAACGTGAGTTTTGAGCAGTGTAGAGTAGCACTTGTTGTTTGTCATTTCTCCGATCACAAATGCAGACAGAGTTTTATGTTTACGCGGCGTGATGCAACGCAACGAGTAAAAAGATAGTACAAGTCATTATAATCCGTAATTATGTCTCCACTGGATGCAACAAATGCCTCGTTTGTAATGGGTTGTCATGTTTTTGTCTCGTCGCTCCGGCCAGACAGGGCAGCACAGTATGACAAAATAATGTTCTTTTTAGCAACATCATATGACGCCTTTAAGAGAACATTCAAGCTCAGCCTGAGATGAACAGAAGTGTTGGAGTCGTCAGAAAGTTTAATTAAAAAAACTGCGTGTAATGGATCGCCTGAAGTTAGATGTGATAATGCTATAGAAAATCTGTTTTTATAAATTCACTCACACACGCACGCACGCACACACACACACACACACAATCACACACACTCACGCACGCACACACACACACACAATCACACACACTCACTCACGCACGCACGCACGCACGCACACACACACACGCATGTAAAACTACAGACATCTGATTCAAAACCACTGAGAGTGAAAATGTTCTTCAGTCATAACGAAGAGCTGATCATAATTTCTGACAGGAAACATCAGTCGTACATCATTTTAAAAGCTCCTGCATGATTCAGAAGGAGCTCTCCATCTCCACGTCGGCACATTGGAGTCCGTTGGCAGCGGCGGTGTCCAGCGCGTCCTTCATCTCTCGCTCGTGAGTCTGATCCGGGACGCCGTTGATCTTGGAGAAACTCTGGCTGATCTCCATGAAGGTCTTATTTTTGGTCTCCGGCAGAACGACGAGCAGATAAATGGCTCCAGCGACACACACCACCACAAACAGCAGGAAGGTAAACGTCTGCAGCGCCTCCTGCAGGAGCACAAACACACACACACACACACATCTGAGCCAAGGACATCTGGAACATCAGGCCCGTCTGACATCACATACACACGCACACATACACACACAAGTGCAGTATGGAGTACCTCAAGGCTCAGTACTAGGGCCGTTACTTTTCACTCTTTACATGTTACCCTTGGGAGATATCATCAGGAAATATGGTGTTAGCTTTCACTGTTATGCTGATGATACTCAGCTCTATATTTCTTCACGGCCCAACGAAACATACAAATTTGCAAAACTAACGGAATGCATAGTCGATATAAAAAACTGGATGACAAGTAATTTCTTACTGCTAAATTCGGAAAAAAACAGAGGTGTTAATTACCGCACATAATAAACCTAGAACACTGTCTAAGACTCGATGGCTGCTCTGTCAATTCTTCGTCATCAGTTAGGAACCTAGGTGTGCTATTTGATAGCAATCTTTCCTTTGAAAACCATGTTTCTAGCATTTGTAAAACTGCATTTTTCCATCTCAAAAATATATCTAAATTATGACCTATGCT